AAATAAGACCAATTTACTTCGTCAAAAGCTTTTCCTGGATGTCTTTTCGTGGATCAAACTCCGAAAAATTGTGCGATTCTAGTAGTATGGAAAATCAATTTCAACTGAGGAAAAATAACATCATCTCTATTATTTCAACATCATAAATCATAGGACCAAGACAAATATTCAGTTACCAAAGCTTCAAACGAATACTGGCCACTAAAAATCGATGTTTGACAAAATCCCAGTAGATTTCCCAAGTCTGGACTATTAAATAAGATGTAGTGGATAACGTAACGTTCATTCGAATGGATTAGGCAAGAGGTATGTACATAATAACAATGTCTAAAGAGTATTCACAGCATTATACAGTTAGTTATAGTGTAACAACAGAAGACAAGGGCTGGCAACAGATGGTTTTATTACGAAAAGCAACACGTATTTATATATATTTTATGTACATTAATGAGGCTTATGCAAGCAGAAAAAGGCAGTCTTCTGATTGGTTGTTTCACGGAAGTTAAGCAGACAAACACAGTCTTATGATTGTTTGTTTTCGATATTTCTCGGAAAGTAGAGCCATCTATCTGCGAATCATATTTGTCCACGTTTAAGTTTGCTGTGATTGGTTGTTGAAACAGCCTTGTTCATATTTTCTCACGGCCCATATTAGTGACCTAGACATTAACGTAGATTAGTGTCAACCAATCGGCTAGCAGCCTGCTCCCACCACAATAGTAGCTAGTGTTTCGCTGACCACAATAGTCATCACCATTTAAAGTTGTCAATACTGAGAAACGTCACTCCATACACAGCCAAAATAACAGCCATCGACTATAGCAGCAGACCTCGGATGAACATAGACTTGTAGGTTGATGATGTGGTTACATCACTAACAGTATTTGACACGTACCACGAAGACTTCAGAGCTTCTGTCTGTACCTGCAAAATTTCAAAACACAAATAACATCTTGGTGGCATATGGTGCTGTGTGACAGCAGTTTATCAGTTTGCAGGTGAATCACACTTTTAATGACATCTCCGTTTACGCTTTTGGCTGACAGGGCATTTCGGAAGTGCAGAAAACGATTTTGGCAGGACTCGTCACTACTACATAATTTGCCCCGTAAGAGTTCAGTGAAGTGGCCCTGCCGACAGATATTCCAACTGCGTCGATAAGTGAACAGAACTAATTCGCTTATGGCAAGTACATATGGTGATGAACACACTATTTAAGCACTCTGCTAAACCCTACATTACCCTGAGATCGTTTTATTTGCAAATGAAATACGCACATATTTATTATGCCAATAACTTTAAACACACCTTTATTTCTAAACTGTATACACCGTCTATCTCACCTACGAGGCTTCTACATAACAAAAGTTCGACTGTTATTTATGAATATAGTGAATATTATTCCCGTAAGTTCGAAAAGCCATTCTCAGAGGGGAGAATTATCGTCATTTGATGGGGTTTTTCCGAAGTCTTAGACAACTTCAAATTTCATCTTATATGTACACACCTGTCTGTTTGCAGGATGAAAAGGTAATGAATTATCGTCCGTAGCACAGTGGTTAGGACTCTCGCCGACCATACAAATGGTCTGGGGTTCGATCCCCTGCCGACGCACACCTGGTATATATGGTCGGTCTGCGAAATTTGGGCTACAGATATCACATGCTGAAAATTCCATACCTGTACCGAAAATACGGTGTGGAGTCAAGCTGTAATAAAAAAATCATAAGCATTGTATTTATTATGCAGGTAATGTTATTGCTGGTAAACTTTACAATATCGTGCACAAGTTCTACACGTCATTACATCAATAGTATAAACATACTAATTGTAATGCAGTCCAGAGGCTTAATACCAATAAATTTGTGTGAGGTAGATGTGTTGAAAGACTACTTGCAGATAATTCATATTAAGACGCCTTACGGAGTATCTACGAAGAGCAATAACCTGTAATGAGGAGCATGAAAATTAAATAATTCAGAGGCACGTCTTAGTGCATGAGATAAACATTTAAGATAAGCGTGTTACAAAGTTAACATCAGTAAAATGTTTGAGCATTGTGGATTAAATCAAATAAGGTATAATTATATTTCAGTAGTTTACACACAATGATAAGTTTTGTTATTGGTAATATTTCGAGCAAAAATAAAACAATTCCAACAGTGGTGCGAACACGGGCAGTAATTTTGCTCGAAATATTACCAATAACAAAACTTATCATTGTGTGTAAACTATTGAAATATAATTATACTTTATTCGTGTTACAAAGATCACAAAAAGTCACTCATTTAATTTAATTCAGCTCCTTCCTTTCCTTATGTACGAGTTACTGACTTTTTGTCACTGATTCTTCGGTGCACTTTTTCTAGACAATTCAATCATTTGGACATATGCGAACAGGAGTATTAGCAAGCGCCATTAATAAGTGCAAAGCCTTTGATAAAGTACCTCACAAAAGATTACTCATGAAGTTGGGAAGTCTTGGTATCAAAGACAGCTTACTAAACTGGCTCAGGGAATTCCTCATAGATAGGAGGCATAGGGTTAGGATCAACTCGAAACTCTCCTCTTGGACAGCAGTACGTAGCGGAGTGCAACAAGGCACGGTACTTGGACCTCTCCTATTTATTTTGTATATCAATGAGTTATCTCTGCTCACTGACTCCCCTATGGTCCTATACGCAGATGACTTAAAAATTTGGAGAGAGCTGAAGGGCAACAGTGACACGTCTACGTTGCAAGAGGATCTCAACAAATTGTCAGAGTGGCCCATAGAATGGATGCTCCCGATAAATGTGGCGAAATGTGCAACCATGCGCATTGGACAAGCAAGCACGAGTTCCTGCGAACTAGAGGGAATAACACTTCAATCAGTTCAGACTCACTTGGACTTAGGTGCCATAGTTAGCCACGACGTAAAAACTACAGCACACTGTCGCGCGATGGCTGCACGTAGTTTCAGGTCCTTATGGACAATTCGCAGAGCCTTCACTAGAATCACCAGAGATATGCTCACCTCCTTATATACATCTCTGGTCAGATCAAGACTGGAAAACTGCATCCAGGCAGCCAGTCCGTGTCTAAAAGGGGATTCACACATTCTAGAAAGTGTTCAAAGGAAGGCACGTATGGTTCACGGCATAGCTAACTTATCATACGAGGAAAGACTAGATAGTTTAAATCTCTTCTCACTGTCATACCGTAGGCAGAGAGGAGATTTAATCGCAATGTTTGAAATTTTAAACAATGACTACGGACCTGACCTGTCCTTTTTTCCTTCCCACCAGGTCGGAACACCTCAGAGTACATAACAGGATAGTTCAGAAGCCAAGGAGAAATCATATTGCTGTTGAGTACTGTTTCTCAGATAGTCATAAACTCTTGGAACCAACTCCCAAAAGAAGTGGTGTCTGCAACCCCAACTGATTCGTTCAAGAATGGTTTGGACAACCACAGAAATTCACTAGAAAAGGATTAATATAGGCTTCAAGCCTTCTATCCTCAGCCAATAAATCTGAATCTGAAATCTGAATTAGTACTCCAGTGACGTGTAATTCTTAGCAGCTGCGATGACAAATGCTGATTGGCGAATATAATGTACTGTCCACTTATGGAGATTTTTCAAATGTCTCTGACCCAGGCTTGGCTATCCAGGGACTGAAAAACTCTTATAAGCCCCATCATCAGAGAGGGGATCAGGCAGTTAGTATCTAACTACCGGCCTGTAAGTCTGACCTGTATTATAGCAAAGGTATTAGAAACACTCATGAGGGATTAGCTCTTAGCTCATGGAAAAAATGGCATACTGGCAGTGGAACGGCATGGATTCCGACCAGAACGATCCTGCTTAACCAACTTACTGTTAGCTAGTAAAGATTGGGTCGAGGCCAGGGATGAAAGCCATCTGTTGGACGTTGTCTCTATCGATCTTGGTAAAGCATTCAATCAGGTATCCCATTTAGGTCTTCTTAGTAAACTTAAACATTTTTGGTTAGACCAACGTTTATGTGGGTGGTTTAGCGACTACCTGATGGGTAGAAGGCAGAAGGTAAGGGTTAATGGTATACTGTCAGGGTGGAAAACACAGCTAAGTGGAGTACCTCAGAGGACCGTACTTGGTCCCTGCTATTCCTATTGCACTTAAATCAACTGCCAAAATTCTTACCTAGTCCTCCTTACTATTTGAGGACGATATTAAGATATGGAAAACCGTAAATAGTGACGGTGATAGGTTAGTACTACAAGACGATTTAGATAAATTAGCCGAATGGGCTAACCTTTGAAGTCTGGAAATTACTTCCAAGAAAAGCCTGGTAATGCACCTAGATCAGTAGTCTTATACGTCGTATTTCCTGGGGGACAAAACGGCTTATGAATTATTTTAAGCCATCGCCTAGAGACAACGGCAAATCCTAATGAAGCCGCAGCCAAGGCTTTTCGATTAGACGAGGGTATGTTCCAAGTACTCTAGGCAACAGGTGTCAGGCCTCATCCACAGTACTGCAGACAAGCGGCGAGTCCATGCTTCAGAAAGGAGGCACATATCCTGGAAAGAGTACAGAGGGTACGAACGAAATCGGTTAATGTTATATCACACGTTCCTTCTAATAAGAGGATGGGGCATTTAAATCTTTTCCCATTATGATACTTGAGGAGGGGAGACGACTTAATTTTGGCATACGGTATATTAAAGAGTGGTTTGGGGATTGACTTTCAAACCTTTTCTCTACTTCTAGGATACATTTATGAGGTCACCACGAGAGAGTGCTCAAACCGAGGTCGAATAGAACACGTGTAGAATTTTGGTTCTTTCACAGAGTGGTGAACGACTGGAACTCGTTTCCTCATTCAGTAGTACAGCTTCATTTGTGAACGCTTTCAAAGAGAAACTGGATCTCAGAAGAGATATATATCGCGAGGATTAACATAGGAAACAGGAGCCTTCTATCCTAATAATATGAATCTGAATCTGAAAAGTACGTTGGGTTTCGAAATATCGCGGGTAATCCAACTGTGGCCTTGAGCTGTTCCAATACCTCAAGGTTCCCGAGGTTTATCTTTATTATTTTATGCACAGTGGGTATTTTGTTTTGGAACAGGTCGGTGTTATGATATAGAAATCTAAAATTTGCAAGGTAATCGACCGGTAACAATGGACACTTTTAAATTGTCAAAAATTAAATAATTGCATTGGAAATGTCGTAAGACAAAAGGAAATCATTTTTGGGGATGTCACATTTTACGCCTGCTTGACACATGTTCACTAATACTAAATAGGGATGATTCCGGGGGATTCATACTGGTGGACAAATCAATCTAGAACCCTCTCTAGATGTATCTCGATTCAGGTTGTCATACTTAAAATCATCAGGCCAAGGAAGCAGTATCATATCTCTTGTCTCCAGTAATATCTGATATGCCACTGCTTTAAGTTGGTTTATTATTAAAATGAACATAACCATAGGATATAGGATTACTAACGTTGTAGTATGTCAGTTTCTCAACCTAGTTCATCATCCAATATCCAATATCGTTTTTACGAGCTATTGTAAACCAATTTGATTTCTTTGTGCTCGCTTCTTGATTGTGAGGTATAGGTTCTTGATCTTCGGTAAACTTCTGCGTAGCTTGTCCCGCCACTCGACTGTCGTAGCTTTGGTTGACTCCAAAGGGAGTAGTGCTGGGATTAATTATATGTGGTTTGTAGTATGAGGTATGTTAAGACTGTTGCTACTGTGATTGGAGTTGATCCTTTCGCCAGTTAGTCCTTCGGTATTGTCGACAAGAGAAAAGAGATAGTAATAATAATAATAGTAATAATAATAATAGATATAATTAGTGAAGCTATTCAGCCTAAGAGACAGAAACGAAAATAGGAAACGTAACAACAGTCAGCTCATTAAGTTTGAAGAATAATATATATATCGGTAATAGTAATAATAATAATAGTAATTATAATATTAATAAGTTGTCAGGAGAGTAAGACGGGAGAGAATGTAAAGAAGTAAAATGACGAGTTTAATTATCTACCCTGATTGGTAAATGCGATTTTAAGGAGATAGGCCATTTGGATGCAGTCCTTGTATCGCTGCATGGTTGTCCAGTCTTCGCTTAAAGGCGTCCAAAGACGGTGCCATAGCTACATCTGCCGGTAAGGAATTCCAGGGACGACAAACCCGCAGTGAGAAGAAGTGGGAGCGCACCCGGGTCCTTGCCCTCTGGTGAGCTATCCTTCTGGGATTTCCACGTGGAAGCCTATACCTACTCAATGGCAGAACACCTTTGTTTGGGTGATTCTGGTCATTTGTTATTTTGTAGGCAGTAATCAAATCCCCCCTAAGCCGACGGTAACTAAGTGTGAACAGGCCTAATTTCTTCAGCCTTTCATCATATGGTTTGTTTCGGAGACCAACCACTCCTTTTGTTGCCCGTCGTTGGACTCTTTCCAAGAGGTTGGCATCTCTTCTCAGCATTGGGGGTGCAATAATATTATGCACCTCAAGGTGTGGCCTGACGTATGTTTTGTACAACATTAGAAAGAGCTCAGGAGTGAGTGCACCTAACTGTCTATGCGTAAAGTGTATGACCGCATATGCTCTCGCTACATCATGGTTTCCTCCTACTTTTATCTTTGTTTGCAAGTCATATATATATATATATATATATATATATATATATATATCTTACTTCGAGTTATTTACTGGTTAAAACAATCATACCCTCCAGGTTTCTAAGTAATTAATTAAAAGGTGCTCATTAAAACTTGATTTTCCTAACCAATAGTACAGGCGCTTGTATACCTTGTTTCCATCTTAATTGCATTATTAAATACATGTAGTTGCATTATATGTTTTTCATATCATGTTCTGTATAACCTTTTGCTATGTTCTCATTTTTAATCCTATGTATTATCCAAATGAAAAGCAGATAAGGTGTGAAAACTGAGATCACTTGGAAGCATCGCTAAGTTCTATATTATTGATGATAACTGGCCAATGGTACACTAAGAGCACTGTAAAACCTGACAAATTCGAGAAAAATGAATTCTTTCACCAAAGGAGATTCCGTATATCCCTAAGGCTGCTTAAGACTGATTATGCGGGTCCGAAGGGCTTATTGTTTAAGTGTTTCCAATTTGCTTATATTTATTTTTGAAGATTTGTCTGTCGATAATAGTTAAGTATAAATAGATCACTATGATCAAGCTAAGATTTGAAAACTACCGTAATATGAGTCATTCCTCTGAAACAGAAATAGAGAAAGAACTCAACAAAAGGACGTGTATACTGCTGAGTAGTTCGCCGCGTCCTCCTTTATGTCTGTGAGTGAGATTTATGGCCATTGAAAGTGGAACACACGAAGCGACTGGCTAGCTTTCTTTCATCATAGGAGTCTGTGTTCTATCTCCCATGTTACGTGGCGAAATATGGTGAATAATATTGAGGTTTGGCTTCGGTCGAGTCCTAGGTAAGGAGGGAAAATCAGTGGACGAGGTTGTCAAGCTACATGGATTGAGAGAGATGGTTAGGACATGTGTTACACAGGCCTAACCTTCTTTGACAAAGGGCAGTGTTAGCTGACTGACATAGGATAGATGAAATCCATAACAGTTAGTTCAAGCCAACCAGCCAGCCACGTAGGTAGGGAGGTGGGGAATACCTGAATGGATGATTGGATTCCTCGGGAGGTAAGAACCAATGGCGGCTGGAGACAGTTGCTGATATGGCTCATTATCATTGGCTGGCGCAGATGCATGCGTCCACTCTTTGTGATTTGTCAGCCATATCGAATGAAAGTTTATTGTTCTTCCCTCACACATCTGTTTATTATCTCTCTTTGCTTTGAAGATAAGAAAGTTGCGTTATATTCTTATTTAGGCGATATAACTCATAACCCAATTACATACTGAGAAGTCAAACATGTTCTTGTTTAAACGAATAACTTTTAACAAACATTCCTATCAGCAAAATAGTAAATAAAATTCTTGAAATACATAACTTTCATTGCATTTTCAGAATCAGGAACAATACGTATACTGTCGAATCCAAAATCATAGTCAACTAACAGTTTAGTAAGCGAATAAACTTCTAAATTATGGTGTAAACCTAACTAGTTAACAGAGACATGTTTAATTTAATATTAAAGTATCGCATAATATTGTGAAACAGCCGTGTAAAACTTCTTGTTAAAATTAGCTTATGAATTGATGTCAGTTAGAGAACCATTGAAAGCGAAGGAGTACTGGACTACAGCTGTTTCGTCCCAATCTACGACTAACTTCTGAACTAAGCACCGACGACATTCCCAATGCTAGCGATAGAATCCAAAAGCTTCAGGTTACGAGACGAGCTCCCTGACTGTTCAGTCACTATGACAAAATCCGATAGCCCGTGAGTTGTAACTCCTGCCAGTCCTGGACCTTTAACTGATTGCATTCTTACTTTCTAACACAATGCACTATGCTGCATATAAAGGCGAATGCTCCTCTGTCTTGCTCACTGAAGCTGTTTTCCCTCAAGGTGCTGTCCTCTATCCTTTTCTTTTTTCTTACATGGCTTATTTCTTCCGGATAAAACCAACTTCGTGAAATATGCTGATGATCTGACTGTCCCACTGCCGGTTTTGTCCCAATCTGACTGTTGAAAACTGAATACCTTTTTGTCGGGTATCAGTCAATGGTCTAAGCTTAAATAGTCTTACCTTAAATCCCTCAAAATATCAGACAGTTAACTTTACCTTACGGCATAAACGTGATCTCCAAGAACTGGTTCCTTACATGACGCTTGTAGCATAGAGGGAACTGAAATAGAAAGTAATTCTAGCATAAAATGCCTTGCAATAGTTTTATCCTCGAGTCTTTCTTGGTCATATCATATTTTGTCAGAAAATGTTCCGTCTAACCTACTACTTTAGGAAGTTAAGACAATCGGGTACCATACAACCTCTACTTTTAAAGTTTTTTTAACTCTTGTATCTTACCTATTGTTCTTTACTGCTCTCACTGGGCTATTCAGAACAGACTGTCATAATGTGAAGGATACTAAAGGCTGTCAGGTGGACAAGTGGTGTGCCACTCAGTCAGTCAGTTCTTTAATATTGTACTCAACAGACATCTGAACTCATGTGAGAAGTGGTCTAAATCCATGTCGTGCCTCTCAACATCTGTATTCACACCACTGCCTTCTCTTGCATCTCATCAGGTGGAAATAAAAGTCTTTATAAAAGATTATATGCTCGTATAACCAAGTGGAGAAACTCAACGATACCATATTTAGTTAACATGCTAAACGATAAACCTACAACTTAGCGAAATAATTGCTCTTTTATTCTATCCTATTTGTAGTTTATGGCGATACTGTTTCAATTAACTTATAACTTAACTATTAACATTATTATCATCATTATTTTGCAATTCGTGTACATCTTCGACTTTACTGTCACTGCAAATAGCAAAGTAAAAACTGTCACTATCAATCCTGTAATATTATTTTCACATTTGTTTTTGCTGTTGTCAAGTAAATTAGTTGCGTATTGTACCTGAAAGTGCTGAGAATTCTACACTGTATCATAAGTACTATTTTGGAATTATGCAAATTATTATTGTCATTATTTCAAGGACCTGAAGAAAGTTACCTATAGAATAGTAAATTTTCAAAAGAATGGATGCTGAATAAAGAATACTCTTTTCGATAACTTCATCATCAGGCTCTACAGTTATATATACATTATAGTGAATGAATGAATTAGTGTTGTGAACAACATTAATGTTGTTTAAATAACATCGAATCAATAATAATATCAATAGATTACAGCTCAATAGCTTCAACATAAAATAAGCTGAATGTCAGTTGAATTGGGAAAGATAATAATACAAATTCATGAGTTTATGGTTTCTACTGAAGGCCGGCCAGGGCAATAGTAGGGGCTGGACTTGCTTCTTTTGAACACAGAGCACTGGTTGTTTGAGGCAAATTGCAATAGCCTCTGCTGTTTTGAGCATGTGGTGCTTCGATGATTTTGGCAATTCATTAGGCACCCGGTAGATTATAGAAAAGGATTCTTCCACGCTGGCTGGCTTTGTGGCCGGTTTGCACCAGATGGTCCAATATCGAACTGTTAATGGTTCTAACTACACCTATAATTAGCCATAGTGGGAGATGTTCTTGAGCACGAAAAATCAAGTTCCTAGAGCAACGGCCAATATAACTTGCTCCACTAAAAGTGCAGTTGAATTGGTAGATACAATTTATAGTGGCTGGTCTAGGTACTTCATCTTTCAGTCGAGGTAGGACCATCGGTCGTGTAGAGAGTAAGACGTGTAGTTCGCCAGGATTAAAAGTTCTTTGAACTGATTTTGTTAATTTCCTCGCAATTATCTCATTTGGTATATCGGCCTTGAACTGCAGTGGTATATAAATGGCTTCTTGTTTACAGATAGTGAGTAGTCCTTTTCCGCTTTCTTTGTTATGTGTTTCTTGATAAATTTTTCGGGATAGCTATTTTCGATCAAAGTATAATATACAATGCTTAATTCATCTTCAATTACTTCTTCTGAGCATATAGCCCTAACTTGGCTGAGGGTCTTCACTAAATTTCTTTTGTACTTGATAGGAACGAAGCTGTGAAAATGTGTATATTGTCCTGTCCCAGTACTTTTTCTATGCAAATTTCTTTTTATTCTAACATCTGGTTTTCTTGTAAGGAGGACATCCAGGAAGGCAATTCTGTCTTGGGATTCCTCTTTGCATGTGAATTTCATAACCGAATGTACTTCATTGAATTCAGTAATTACTCCTATCCGAATCATTATACTCTCTCATGGTGTTTTGTTTTCACTATTTCCATATCATCTTATACTCTTTCAAATAAATGGTATGAATTGATTTCATTTATAAAGTTCTAGTTCAGTAGTCCTTGCTCAAGTTAGAAATAACTGAATACTAGTCCATTTGAGTATATATAGCCAAATAATATCACTGGGACCCAGTAGTTTAATGGTCTGCGAGCTCTCTCTCGCCTTGTTACCGGAAGGTTTTGAGTTCGAACCTTGTCGGTGGATGTACACACTACTGAAGAGTTCTAAAGTAGGCTGACGGAACAGCTGTCCAGTACTCCCTGACTGTTTTTCCAATGGTTAATATATGTGTAAAACTTGGGCACTGTGGTAGTAAGTCATTGCATATTGGTTTGTTTCTTAGATGTATCACACAGTGAAACAGTATTATTTACTGGATGACGTTTCAAAAAAATTTATTGTTCATAATCATTCCATCAATTATAATCACACGACTTCGAAATTTGACTTTTTTAGTTATCTTTGTTCCCTCCTATTTGTTGTTGTAGGGGTAGTAGAATTTTCCAGATATCTGGGACAGGTGATGAATCATTCCTATTACATGTATATGCAGTTGATTCGATAAACAAAGCTTCTGTTATCAATCTTCCCCACTCACCACCCTGTTACATTAGATTTTAAAACTGTATCTTATCCCACCCATCCTATTGTACGGTTGTGTGTAATTGCATGTAGTGAGTGCAGTAGCTGAACTATCCTCTAGATTTCTTATCTTATTCGGGTCAACCAATCTAGATTTTGCTAAGTTTTTATTTTCAGCTAGTCTGACTGCCCTGTTCTACTAGTTTGACCTATGTATTTGACTTGACAATTATTCCATTGGGGTATTAGATAAACTAAATTTTTTTTGTTTTAACGGCTTTACAGGATCCTTTAACCGACAAAGCTTGTTTCTAATTGACTTTGTGGGTTTAAATGCAAGTCGCTTTTATTCCTGCCTTGTTAAGGATTCTGCGTAAGGCTTCCGAAGTTCCTTCCTTGTATGGAATTACTACTGATGATTAAGATTCCTTATTGTTGGTGTTGTCTTGCACATATTTGACATGGATGTCGTCATTAATATTATTATTATTATTACCACTATCACTACTATCATTATTTATTTTAATTTTACATTTCCCTACATATTTCCTGACTAATTTATCAGGGTAATTATTAAGTTTCAAGGCTTATGTGCCTCACTTCCTGTCCTTGGTACTACTTAGTTTTTGTGCTCTGTCACTTAAACATTTTACCAATCCTATTTTTACTGACATAGGATGGGACGATCTGAAGTTCAGATATCTGTTTGAATGTGTGGGTTTCCTGTAAACACTAGTGTTTACCCTTTCTATCTTCTTTGCTTTTTTACGCTGCAATCTAACATTGGAAGCTCCCTCTCCTTCCTGACTTTCCAATTCATAAGTGAATTGAATTGCCTCTACCTTCGAGTTGATGTGTTCGAAAAATCTATCTATATCTCTTGTGTTCTGAGTACAGTGAATATGCCATCTACATACCTCCACCATATTTCGACGAGGAGTAGGGCTGAACGTTTCAATCGCTATACTTTCCCACCTATCCATGAATATATCTGCTACAACTGGGGGTTATCTAGTCGGTGTCAGCTCTTTATAAAATCCTGTAACCAATCAAATAAAATCCTTGCAAAACAGCACCTGGATATCGCTTAGGATATATGGTTCTTCGTATAGTATACATAGGCTTTTGTCAGACTTTAAAGTTGCACAACTTACTGCTATTTAATGTGATGTATCTTCCCTTATTTCATCTCTTATTACATATTAGTTATATTATTTGTGAAATTTTCTTTATTACAGATTGCTCAATCAAACTTAACTTTGACTGACCAGTTTATTATTAATATACAGCATTAATTTCCACTAGAAAAAAAGTGATGTTTGCAACGTGTATTAAAACATTCATTATCAGGTAGAAAGTCTCTTCTTTTTCCGAAAGAGCTTAATTCTCTTCTTGCACTGTAGAACAAATGTTAAATTCATTTACAACGGTGAACCAGTTCGATTTATGGGCGGTTTGAGTAAAGTTCTTTATCCTTGGATGAATAGGAAAAAGCCATTTTGGGTTAAACAAGAGGCTAATCCCTACACAGATGAAGACATCACGCCTGAAAACAAGCAGTTTTTAGAACAAGAGCGTATGAATGTATTGACGTGTAATACAAGCCCAATTATTACTGAACAATGGGATCAAGTACCGTGGACACCTTATGTTACACAAAGATGCGGTCTAATTGCAGTTAAATTAGGCATGTATCCTTTATGGACTAAGACTGGACGAAAAATAGACTGTACAATTTATCAGGTAAGCATTTTGTTTGTGTGTCGTGTTGTTATGCTGATTTAAAAGTCTATTTCTTATAGTACCGATGGTGTGTCATTTTGATTTTCTTTTTTAATTCTTGGCGTACCTGAAACAGAAAGTGAATTGGTGTTGCGTGACTGCAAAGCTCAGGGGACAACTGCTTGAGGCCGGTCACACACGACGTGTTTGAAATGACTCCTATGTTTGGTTCCGTAACAGTAACTTACCGCCGGCTACGGGCCACCGTAGAATGAGTCGGGATGTACAATTTTCGGGGTTGACTTTTTCTAATCCCGTCTCTCCAGATTGAGGATACAGCATAGCTCGCATGCTGGTTATCTGAAGTGTTTCACATTATTGTGGTTACATCTCTGTTCTCCATCAGTACTACTTTGCCAGCAAACCCTAAGCATAGTGTAAGAAATCCTACACTATGGTGGTAACTGCTTTTAGTCTAATCGCTATCCTAACAATCTTCCTAACATGGTAGGACCTGTAGGAACGATGTTTTTGGCCAGTATAGCTTGTTGGGTCATTACGATATACATGCACGACCGCCACGTCAAGGTAGCAACTATCGGCGGCGCAATGTTAGCTGATACAGATAGAGCTAGCACGTGGGGATCAAACAAAAACATGGCTTCATCAGTCAATGAAGTCCTTAGCAGTTAGTTTAAGCCAGCCAGCCACATAGGTGGGAAGGTGTGGACTGTCTGACTGACTGGTTGAAGTCCTCGGGATGGTATGAACCACTGGCGGCTGGAGACAATTGGTGATATGGCTGAAAATCCTCATTATCATTGACAGCGCAGATGCATGCATTCACTTTCTGTGAATTGTCACTCATATCCAATAAAAGTCTATTGTTCTTCGATATTACTACTATTATTTTTCCCTCACACTTTGTTTATTATCTTTCTTTGCTTTTAACCTCTCCTTACTCTTTTCTCTTGCTTTGTGTGGTACATGGAGGGAGAGTGGCAACTTGGACTGGTTTGCACATCTGTGCAAAGTTCTGTGTTGAAACCAGTCAGTCATCGGTCGTTCTGATTTAAATTGACTCACTGTAGCACAAATATATCCACCTTAATTTTCATTGGATTATTGTTTTTCCAACTACACTCTAATATACGCGTCTATCCTGACATCATTCTGTTCATCTGCTTTTCTTTGATGTGCATTCTTCTGAGGTGTGTAGACTTAAAGTGATTCACTTCTGTGCGAGATTCTACATTAATTCGAAGGAAGGTGGTGGGTGGCAGTTCGTCAAAGTAGGCAGCCGACTTTGAACCAGTTCAACAAGGAAACTGCTGAAGATGACGGAGGTCTGAACAGCCGGGCAGTGTTGTCGGCCTACCCTCAACAGATGATTGGCTTATCACTAGGCGCTTTAATATGCATATAGCTGTCGAGTAATATACTATACTTACTATACAACACTGACGACTAGTCATTAGGTTGTATTTGAAAGCAGTGTGTAATGTTTGTTAGATCACTTGAATAAAATCACCAAAGTTATTGGAGCATACATACAGTTATCAGTTGGCTGAAGTCAAATTTGTTGAAATACAGCGGTGCTTAATCCAGCCTTTGTTTGAGTTCAGGGTATTTTTCATATAAGAAGAGTGGTGTGTTCTAACAATCTGAGCAGTTTGTGTTAGAAACATCGACTCCATTCTACTTGCTTCGGATGAATGGCAGAATATCGATCATCATACTACTAAGATACGCGGAGTCCTACTGTATTACAAGATGGGCTTTTGAATAAGAGATTCCAAAGTAGTGTAATAAAATACAAAGGAACTTCCATTTTATAGTGAACTTGTTTACGGGATTTCATCATGAGCTGAAATTAGTTAGAGAACCATTGGAAAACATGGGAGTACTGGACAACTGTTTCCTCTGTCCTAGTTTGGGGCTCTTCAGCAGTACGCACCCACCGGGGTTCGAACCCAGGACATTCTGGTTACAAGGTGAGCCAGCTTGTAGACCATTAAACCCCTGGGACCCGATCCAATGGCCCATGAATTCTAACTTCTGCCAATTCACGACATAGCGCGACCACTAGCCAATGTCTTCGGCGTGTATTTGTCCTCACACCCGACCTGCTGAACCCTACTGGTCACGACTTCTGAATTAGTATTGGTGAATTAGTATTATATATCCCTATAAAAATTCTTGTTACTTCTAACGATCTTGTGGTACGGGGTGAGGGGTGAGACGACTTTGATCTTCCTCTTGGAAATGCTCTTATGCGGTCATGCGTTCACTGCTTCTGCTGGGTTAGTCCGATTAACTCTCTTCACGCGGCGGCGGGATTCCTCACAAAAGTAAAAGGGCGAATTGGAACGTGTGGAGCTTGCAACCAGACTGGTGCACAACATGAAGTTCTACCTCGTGAGGGAAGTTGGAAAACACTTATTCCAGACTTATGGTGTACACATGGACTCCAGAATCTGAACGAATCGAATGATCTATGAACCTGTTTCGGTCACTGGAAAGCATAGAAACGTACTTCCTGACACTATTCTACTGCCTTTTGGGAGAGACTTCAAGTCAGAATCTGGGGACTGTTGGCCCCCTTACAACAACTACCTGCTTTGATGTGGGCGTGCCAGCAGTATACCCCAGCCCTGACACAAATTATGGGATTATTATGTGTGGTGCATCTCTTAGGGCCTATAATGCCTAAAGTGAACAGTGTGTACTGCTCACGCAAATCGAGAATGCTCAAGTCTGGTGGAATATCATAAGTGCCTTGTTTAAGGCGTATATATTTCGTCTGAATTTACTCCATCTTTGCTCAACATTTTCAAGTTGTCAGGAGTTTTTAACTTTCTCCCTGTAGTACAGTATGTTTGCAACTATACGCAGACAGGTTTTATTAGGCTATTGTACAGCTTTGCTCCGTTCGAAACCCCATCTTTAAAAGATCCCAGTTTGGTGTAACGACGTGGATAAGTATGTCTTATGTGCACTTGTATCATAATCTTACAGTGTTGATCTTGAGCATACCATGAACAAATGTCGAATTAACAGTGTGTTGCATTAAGTACAACAACAGGGGTAACAAGTTAAGAACTATTCTATAAAGGTGGAAGCGTGGTTTGATTACTCAACTTCCAGTCAATGTTACCCTGGCTTGAATCCCACCTCACCTATCTCAGTCTGAAAAACTGGGTAGTATTATCAGTCATCACAAGATAAGTATGACTTGTGGCTGGCTTCGTACTACTGGATAGGTGAATTGCAATTAGTTGATTTAATGAAGTAACTCCATGAAAGCATCCTTATTGGCAGAAGTTGGAATTCATGAATTGGTCATTGGATCGGATCCCAATGGCTAATTGATTGGTCTACGAGTTAGCTTGGCTTGTAACTAGAAGGCCGTGGGATGGAACCTTGGCAGTGGGGTGCGTATGTACTATTGAATGGTCCCAAACTAGGCTGATGAAACAGCTGTCCAGTACTCCAGTCAGTGGTGGATTTCCAAGGGTTCTATGAGCAATGTCAGTTCATGATAAAGTCCTGTAACCAACCCTGTTTCAAATAAATGCTCTTTCTTTACCATATTTTATTCCTGTTTGTTTGTCTAACTATCTGAATCATTGTTATCACTATCTCTTTTGGGTTCTGCTTTCCTTTTAGGTACCTGATATTCATGCTATTCGTTATACTCCTCCAGCAGAAATTGACAAATTTATCAGTCTTCTACATCCTCGTCATTACTGGTTAACTAGTAAACGTCCACCATCTTGGATAAAACAAAAACGTTGGGGTATTCAACTAGTCGGAGCATTCTCTGCTGATCCTATTGAATTCACACCAGAATGGTGTAATTTATTTAAAGAAGCTGGTATACCACCGAAGCGTAAAATTTCACGTTTTCTGGTTAGTCCAGATGCTGCTTTAAAACCTGGTGAGTTTGAATACCAAAATTTGTGTTGCAGTTTTTTGACAAATATTACGAACTGCTTTGGATTAGTTTAACCCATATAGTACGATTCAAATTCGAACCAACACTTGGACATCAAACTAATACACATTAGCGACTGGCTCCAGGTGAAAAGTGGTGACCAGTGGTGGGGGGACAAGTGCTCGCCAGCGATGGCATTGGCTGGTACCAGTCGCGCTATATCGTGGATTGGGAGAAGTTGGAATTCATGGACTAGCCATTGGATCGCGTCCCAGTGGCTTAATGCTCTAAGCGTAAGGTCCTGGGTCCGAACCCTGGAGGTGAGTGCGCACATGTGTGGAGTCCCCAAACTAGGCTGATGAAACAACTCTGGCTGTCCAGTACTCCCTGTTGGTTTTCAATAGTTCCCTAACCGATGTCAGTTCATGATGAAATAATCCTAAAACCACATTCAAATCAAATCCTTGCAAACCAACACCTGAAGATCCAGATATGTTAGTGTATCTAGGACTGTCACTTAATCAATTATCCGATTGTAAAATACACTGTACTGTGCCATTGACAATAAAAGTCTAATTATGATATAATGATAGCTGTCTTTGTAACATTGTTGGAATCCAATGATATAACCGCAAGCGTAAGGTTGTTATTATTTTTTTATTATTTCATCCTTTTATTCCTAGAGGAACATAGGGCTTCAGCTGAGCATCTCCATTGTCTTCTGTTTTCTGCCAACTTTTTCACCCCGCTCCAAGTCTGCCCACATGCTTTCATCTCCTCTTCACATGACCTCCTCCAAGTCACCCTTGCACTGACGACCGACTCGCCGCTTCCCTTTCGGGTTCCACTCGAGCAATCGCTTGTCGTCTAGTGATGTCACTTGATGGTTCGATTTCTCAGAGTATAGCGAATCCATCTTCATTTCCTCCTGCCTATTTATTTCACAATCGGTTCCTGGTTGGTTCGCTCATTGCCAGAGATCCCTGTTGCTGATCTCGTCTGACCATTTCATCTTGATTAGTATTGAGCGAAGACGGCTGTTAATGAAGGTCTGTAGTTTGTTGGAGATGCTCTTTATGACGCGCTGGCCAAGTCTCTGATCCGTATAGTAGCACTGACTGACTTCACATTGGAGTTGAAAATCCGGATGTTATTTTTGATGCTGACTTCTGTTGACCTCCATACAGACTTGACGTGAGTAATGAAAGCTTGTCTTGCTTTCCGATTCTTGCTGTGATATCCTCATCACTTCCGTCCGCCTGTAGTTGGTAGGTGAAGGAGGTTGTTTCTTTCAGGTTCCTCCCATTTATGCTGATTGTTGTCTGTTGTTGTTGACCAGGAATCTTCATCACCTCTATTTTATCTATGTCCACCTGAAGTTGTTAGGACTCAGTTACACAGAACAAACTTTTCATGTAGCTCTTCAATGATGCCACACTTGTTGTATAAAGATCGATGATACAAGTCAGCAGTTATCCTCCAGGTTAATGGAGCGGGATTTGTACTGGGTTAACTTCACATCTCTGCCTCTCTTAAACACGATATTTCCGTTAATAACACAATCAAACGCCTTCACGAGTTTGTTTGTAGGAATTTGATTTGCTTCAAGTTTGAGCAAGGATTGATATCAGTTAGATAAGCATTAAGAAACCAGCACTCGAGTACTGGATAGCTGTTTCGTCAGCCTAGTGTGGGATTCATCGCCAGTACTCACCCGTACCACAAACATGCGAAACTGTTAATGTGTTCTTCGTATGCGTTGGTCGTTGATACACATAACAATTATCGAGGAAGTGTGGACTATGTGTAAATGACTGGGAACTCAACGAAACAGCATTAAATAAATGATGCAAGTGTTTCGCTTCCTTATCCCTTGATAATTTTTAAACATTCTCGGTGGTCTTCCCTTAACTATTATCTTTCTAGTCAGCTCACGAGTGCGTGGGTCATATGGATGAAGGCAACTCAGTAATAGGGATGCTCACCACCAGTCACATAGAACGTCCGGATTCGATTTCCGGCTAACGCACTCATAAACCTTGCCTATTTACTGGACACTAGTAACTAGTGTGATGTGTCTAGTCCTTTGTTTAGTGCAGAATTAATTCTATCAGCCAGGTTTGCAATGCGGCCTCCATTCGAGGTAGCTCGCCATCACGGTGCACATTGATTTGATGATATTAGATGGTTGGAGGCAATCGACCACAGGAAGCCTTGGACCTAGGTTTCGTCCTAGTTGGCACTGATCAGCAAGATGTAACTGCAGCCTTGAAGGAACTCATGTCCCCTCAAAGTTGCAGTTACTTATGCCTTGCTGTGACCAGTGCCAACTAGCACGGAACTTAGGTCCAAGGCTTCCTGCCGATTGCCTCCAACCATCTAACAGCTTGCCTATTATTTATTATTATTATTCTCCTTTTGGTTCCGAGTGGAACATAGGGCTTCAACAGCACCTTTCCTCTCACTATCTCTTCAGCGTTATCCTTAGACTCACGTCCAACTCGTTGTTTTCCATTCGGGTCCCACTCGAGTCAATTTCCTACAAACCAACACTCAGAAATTAATCTGCTTGCTAATTAGCAACTATCTACGGATTGCCATCCCCTGAAGTTCTGAAAAAAAGTAATACCTACTGGGCCCCATCAATTAAGGCCAGGTGATGTCCACTGGTTGGCGACAGTACTGCATTTCGCTAACTGCTGGAAGTTAGACCTCATTAGCCATTGCATTCCATTCCAGCGGTTAAGTCGTCAGTTGAGTCACTTTGAAACTTCTAAGGTCCTAGGGTTGGATCCGTAACTGTTATGGGGGGAAGGAGTATCATGGGTACACATTCTGCTGTAAAGAGTCAGCTGTCCAGTACATCCTGATTTTCAATGGTTCTTCAACTGACAACACTTAAATATTATCATTCGTTTACTGATCTTTTTTTCTGTTTGTATTGTTTCGATATTTGGCATAGTTAACTCGTGCACACTTCTGCGTTGATTTGTTTGCCGACAGCTATTCACAGATAGAGGTCCCTATTGTAGTGTAGTTATCTATCATACGTGGCTTTTAAAAAAATTCTTTGCTTTTTGTTAATGTTAACCTATAGTTTCGGAAAGCTTTCATCATTTTAAAGGTAATTTTATTCATATAACTGAGGTGCGTTGTTTTGACCAAGTGAAATTTTTCTGACTACTCCACTTTGGTATTGTTCAGGGTGTTGTTTTTTCCCTAAGGAATAGATGCCTTAGATTTCTTGATGGAATACTATGAGTACATGAATGCCTAAGATCGAATCATTTCGTGTGAAATTATATGTTGCCTATTTTTCTGTTGTTAGGTGGTAGATGTATTATAAACAACAATAAATGTAACTGAGTAAATCGCATGCATTGTCGTACACTTGACAATAACTCATTCATTCATAGATGTACAAATCAATTTAACTCCAACTGTATTCAGCGATTCTGGGATTGATTTGTTACCAAGTTATAACGTCGGTGACTTAGAATATGCAGATGATGTAGTCCTTCTAAGTGTGAAAACGCTGACAAAATAAAACAGAGTCTTCTAAACACTTTGATTAGAAATCTTCCAATGTTTGGCATGTGATTCGCTCCTACTGTCAAATGTAAGGTGATTCTACGGGGATGCACTACATCGACTCACTTCCAGCTTGAAGGCAATGAGAATTCACATCAGCCCCAGTGGACTGATTGCTGACGAAATCTCAGCATGGATACCAAACGCTCATGTGGCTTATGCTAACTTACTCCATCTCTAGGGTAGAGGTGATATCCGAAGACGTTCTGTTCAGCTGTCCATTCAGTCCTCCTTTATGGCTGTGAGTGAGACACGGCCATTGAAAATGGAAGACATGAAAAGCCTGGTTAGCTGTCTTTGATCATAGCCGTTTGCCTTCTATCCCCCGTGTATGTTGGGTGGTGGTAAGATAGGGTGAGAAACATTGAGGTGAGGCTTCGGTCTAGTGCTGGGCGAGGAGGGAAAATCAATCGACGAAGTTGTGAAGTAGATGCACCGACTGAGAGATATGGTTGGGAAATGTGTTAATCATGCCCCCTAGTCTGGCTATCGATCGCCTTCCTTGACAACGAGCAATTTTAGCTGACTGATATAGAACGGATCAGGTGTGGAAGAGCTAGTGGGGGTCAAACCAAAATATGGTTTCATCGGTCAATGAAATCCGTAAGAGTTAGTTTAAGCCAACCAACCAGCCAGCCACAAAGGGGGGGAGGTGTAGACTGCCTAACTGGCTGGTCGGGGCCCTCGGAATGGTAAGAACCAATGATGACTGAAGACAATTGGTGATATGGCTCAAAATCCTCGTTATCATTGGCTGGCGCAGATGCATGCATCCGCTCTTTATGATTTGTCAAGTCGATTAAAACTGTATTGTTCTTCCATATTACTGTTGTTTTTCCCAGAGGGGGGGGGTGGCACTTCTGTGCAAAGTTGTATGTTGAATCCAGTGAGTCAGTCTGATAGTTCTTGTCTCTCCTAATAATTATTATGTCGGTGAATAATTGGATCCCTTACGAATATTATTATTATCTCCTTTATTTCCTAATGGAACAGAGGGCTTTGCCCAACCTTCGCTCTCTACCGTCTTATTGGGGTTTAGAAATGGGTCTGTCATCTGGGGATCGAACCCTAGGCCGAGTGAGGTGTAGTTGGCGAGCGTTATTCGGCACGTTCATGAAAACAGACTACTTTAATTACCTTCTTTTCTCTTTTATTTTTCTGTGTTTTTAGGAACACCTTTAGGTGTGAATCATTTTCGTGTAGGTGATTACTTGGATATAACTGCAAGAACGTAAGTTTATGTATATATTCACTGTTTTGATGAGGGTTTAAAAAAGTCTCTTTCACAATTCACTTCATTTGATGCATGCATGACTTGTTCATCGATGTCTGGGGATACATGTGAATGAATACGTTAAGTACCAAACACAACTCAAGATGAATGAAATTCATAAGTTACGAATTTTGGTTTACTTCCCTCAAGTCAGCTAGCCAGGAATGAGGGGCGGAGGTTCAAACTGATTGATTCGGCTCTCTGAGCTAGCTATGTCGAATCGTGTACACCTCTGGTGGTGAGCTCAGACACAAACAAGGAAACACCCGTCCAGTGTTTAGACTACTTCGATCTGGTTAGCCAGCAAACACTACTGGTTGGTGTGAGTGGCACACAACTACTCATATCAGTGAATCAGTAGTATACAGTTCTATGTAACCCAAGATAGGCATCTAATCATTTTAATTCGTATTTTAAAAGTGACTATTTAACGTCTTTCAGTATTAACGGAAACACCTCGTTAATCTTAGTTCTACAACCTGTTTTGTTGAAAGTATGCGAATGGAAAACCAACCGTCAAGGTATATTTTGAGCATCATTTCCCCGAGGTCTTGTTAAATAACTACTATGCGATTTGATTTTTTTTGTTGTTTGGTGGCTCTCTCAGTGGAATTTGCGATGTGCGTTTCGTCTTACCTGCGACTCATCAACTACGGTATCCCCAGTGAAACTGAACATTTCAGTAAAAATAAAGTCAAAATCAACGAATATTTCAAAGTATTAATCGTAAAAATTAACAACTCTTTCGTTAAAAGTAGAATCGGGAAAGCAAGTCAGACGTTCATTACACTGAAATCAGAGTGGAAAACTACAGCGCTTAGTGTTTCTTTCATCCGTTTGCGTTCCAAGTGGAACATAGAGCTTCTAGGTGGAGCTCTAAAGTTTCAGTGACAGTGGTGTTTTTTACTTTTTATGGGATGGGATTGCTAGCGTCATCTATCCAACCTTTCCCTGTTCGCCAGACTTACTACCAGCTAACTGGTGTAGAAATGCACTGGCTGGGGTCGGACCCTGGACCACATACAAGATCAGCGAGGATTCCACCGGCGCCACAGCACTTAGTACAAGGAATGAAACCTGAATTTTCAATATTTATGCCAAGTGAGTGCTTATATGTAGGGATATGGTTCAGAGACTTAATTGGCGCTTCACTAAAAGCATTTCTTACAGGCCACCTCAGACTTTTGCTAACAGATGCCTTCCCTGCCTTCATAGAGAAGATCAAGGCGACAAGGTACTGTGGCAGCAAACCAAATAAGATCCTATTATGATTGGACACTGGTAACTAGTGTGACGTGTCTAGTCCTTTCCTTAGTGCAGACTGAATTCTATCAGTCAGGTTTGCAATGTGGCCACTATTCTAGGTTGTTCGCCATCACGATGCACATTGATTTGATGATATTAAATAGTTGGAGGCAATCGACCACAGGAAACCTTGGACCTAGGTTTCGTGCTAGTTGGCACTGATCGGCAAGGTGTATCTGCAACCTGTACACCGTGATTCCGAGTTACCTAGAATGGTGGCCACATTGCAAACCTGACTGATAGAATTCAGTCTGCACCAAGGAAAGGGTTAGACACGTCACACTAATTATTAGTGTCCAATCAAAATACCCACTACAGTCGTACAGGAGGTCAATCGCGAGCCCGAATAGCTCAGTGCTAACGTCTCTGACTGCAGCACTGGGTGACGCGGGTTCGAACCTCAGGGGGACATGAGTTCCTTCGAGGTTGTAGATACGCCTTCCTGACTGGTGAGCGCCAAATAACACGAAACTTAGGTCCAAGGCTTCCTGTGGCCGATTGCCTCCAACTATCCAATATCATAAGATACTATTACCCAACAAATATTCAGAAAGGAATGGAAATGGGGTTGGGTATACGCTTAGCAGATAGGTTGAGTGGCATCACACGCCAGACCCTCAAGTGAACCCTGAATAAATAAAAGAGCGATTATTTGAGGATTCGAGAGTGATATGGGAGAGATCACGTAATGAGGAGGAAGTGAAAGCTTGTGGGCAGTCGTGGCGCCAGTTGAAAATGATCACAGAGAAGGTAATACAATGGGAAGGTGTCACCGCAGCCTTATTTTCCACCTGAAACACATGGACTGAGTAGTGGTGATGAATTCTATGCTGCACTTCATCTCCTTACGTTTTCCTCACATCAGTGTGCGTGTGTGTGAGAGATGATTCAAATTAACTGTAGATTTCTCTTGAGAAATGCGGAACGATTATTTATAGTCGAACATTCGAATGCATCTACGGAACGTCTGATTACGGGATTTCGCCACGAGCTGACATTGGTTATAGAACCAGTGAAAAACCAGGGGTTACTTAGTCAACATCTATTTCGTCCTAATTTAAGACTCTTCATAAGTATGCAGCCATCGGGCTAAGAACCCAGGACCTTCTGCTTACAAGGCGAACTAGCTCGTAGACAACACATCCATCGGAATCCAACAATCCAACGGCCAGACCATGTATTCTTACTCCCACCAGTTCGTGATTGTTTTAGCGTGACTGGAACCAGCGAGTGTCATCACGGGCAAGTATTTGTCCGCAGTGGTCACGACTTCTCACTAGAACCCAGGTAACTACCTATCTGAATGCCACGTAAAAATCCGAAATATGGGATTGGTTTAAAACGCGACAGCATATAAAGAGAACCAATAAAATATATGAACCTCATATTGTGGGGTATCTAAGCTGAGTGTCGTCAAAGGCACTATCATTGAGTGTGAATAAGAAAAACAATAGAGCTGTGTCAAGAACGATCCACAGCCCATAATAAACAGCGCAGGAATGCACAGATCAAGAATAAAGGGATTCGAATAAGGGTTGCAATGTACATCTGAAAGCGTTCAACCATAGGAAGACAAGTACTACAGACCAAATAGGATGCTGATACATTAAACGAGGTTAATTCCAGTGGATATGGTTATGGAGTAACGATGTGGTAATCAAAATAGAGACGCACACTACTTATTTAGTAATAAGTAGTATGAATGTGAACGCAAAAGAAACATCAATAATGGATAGATAAGGTAGTATTACTGTAATTCTTAGTAAGATCATCCCATTCCTCTCTTCGTTAGCCTAACACCCTACGTCTCGTGATCGTCAGTTTGAAATTTACACTGGTGTAGCCTAAAGTGTCATGTCACGTTCAGTCAAGTTGGTGAAGTAGAATCTCGATTACACCGAGAGAGAGAGAGAGAATAAAACCTGTTCTCTTAAGGCATTGATTGATCAAACTGTCAAAATTTAAAAGAGGAGGTTTTTCATTTCAAAAATCTTTAAGGGGATTCAAGTCTCCATTTGATTAAGAGTCCTAGCTAACAGATGTTTATTCCTTCTAATATGCCCAGCGACTCCTTTTGAAATGCAGCTATTGTTCTTAGTTCCGAAACTTTTTGATATTTCGACAAGTTCAACGATATCGATATGTAGTGAAGTGTTGGTTTGCATGGATTCGATTAGTTACAGGGTTTCATCGTGAGCTGACATACGTTAGAAACCGTTGGAAAACCTGGGAGTACTGGACATCCAGTTGCTTCGTCGGCCTAGTTCGGGATTCTTCACTATTACGCAGCCCGCTGGAGTACAAACCTATTGAATGGACATTTATACATTGGTTTTCAGGAGAACTGAGGACACCTATTCCTGCTTTTTGCGAAATGAGACAAGCATGCTATTATCATTCTGTGGTGTAACCACTCTCCCTCCGTGGACCGATATCGATATAAAAGTTCAATTTGAAGTCCTGATCAGTCAGCGGAATGGTTTTCTCCCTATTGCATGTCGTCTTATCTGAACCGTTGTCACAGACTAGTTAGTGTGTTGACATCAAGCACCATGACTTATGTGATATCCCACAAAATGAAGGTGGTGTTACTGTTCCCATCAATCGTTAAGACTAATTTAAGTACCATGAGAAAAAGTTGTTGATATTTCTGAAAACTTGTATCTGCATTTAATTAATTAATTTACTTATTTTCAAAGGATTTAGCGCTTTAAATCTTACTCTTTTTGACAACTACATTTCAATCCAACTCCCATTTGCAGTACAACTTGTTGTTTGCTACCCTGAAACCCCAACCTGAGCGGCCTAAGAGTACGTTGACCTAGGATCGAACAACGTATAACCACGTACGCATGGCTGGCGAGTATTCTTCCACTTATACAAAAGGGATGGAACCTGGGAGTTCCATTGTTATGAGGCTAGCGCGCTCTGACAACTGAGTGGAGAATGCATATTCCTAATTATCGTCATTACGATATATATTTACCATAAATTAAATCAATCATACCTCAGATTTTGTTGATTTAGTAGTCAGTGATTGGAACTTATTTGAAGTCGATAGGTGGTGGCGAAATTTGGGCATACTTGGGAAAATTTGCACTGAGGTGATAAATGGATCCCCTCCAAAAGAAATGATATACTGTTATTTAGACAAATTTATGAACAGAAACTCGTTTCAAATGTCATTACCTCCCGTCCTAACCACCTTATGAGGAATCGGGAGACATTTTCACAGCATAGAATCATTTTTGTTAGCCATTAAAAGTGTTGCGATCAGTTAACTTACTATTTATAAGCTGACTGACACGGTAAAAAGCATTGGAGTAGGTGATCGACAGTGTTGTAAGATATGTTGCTATCCCGATAAAAAAATACTTTGAGTCGATGCATTATTATAAAAGTTCTCTTTGTATTTCCCAGTGAATGAAAAATAAAACGATTCTGTTGTTTTGTTTACCGACATTTCTCTATTTAATGTTGCTGCTGCTAATAGCTTTATCAAAGTAGTAGTGTTAAACCAGAATTCACAAAATCTTAGCTTATACGTAACAACAATTCCCGACCGATAGCTGCTAACTTGATGTGGTGGTTGGGCTTGCATATCGCGATGACCCAACAAGCTACACTGGCTGGAACTAATCTTCCTGCAGGTC